GGGGTCTTGCTCTGGCTCAGGCTGGTCTCGAACTCCTGAGCTCAGGTAATCCACCAGCCTTGGCCTCCCAGAGTGGTAGGATTACAGGCGTGAGCAACCGTACCTTGCTGTATGTATCTCATACAGTGCACTACCTAAACCACCGGCCATATCATACTATACCCAGGCCTGATTGGGTGATGAAGAGGTCTTGATGGCAGCCTAGGGAAAGGGGGACGAGGCCAGGCTACTCCATTGTTTTCCCCCACCCCACCCCACAGGTGAGCTACACCACCTCAACATCCCCAACCCCAATCAAACCTCCGTGGTGGTAGAAGACCTCTTGCCCAACCACTCCTATGTGTTCCGCGTGCGGGCCCAGAGCCAAGAGGGCTGGGGCCGAGAGCGTGAGGGGGTTATCACCATCGAATCACAAGTGCATCCACAGAGCCCACTCTGTCCCCTGCCAGGTGAGTTACCCCCCCCCCAGTCTTCCAGCCACCCCTGCACCTGGCCTACAAACTGACATCCTCGTTCTGCTGCCCCCAGGCTCCACCTTCACGTTGAGCACCCCAAGTGCCCCAGGCCCACTGGTGTTCACAGCCCTAAGCCCAGAATCACTGCAGTTGAGCTGGGAGCGGCCACGGAGGCCCAATGGCGACATCCTTGGCTACCTGGTAACCTGTGAGATGGCCCAAGGAGGAGGTACTGCTGTCCCTGGAAGCAGGGGTGGCCAAGGCAGGGGTGGAGAGGAAGCCACAGAAACTGAAGGCATCTTCCCTCCTCAGGAACAGCTACCACATTCCGGGTGGATGGAGACAATCCTGAAAGCCGGCTGACAGTGCCTGGACTCAGTGAGAATGTGCCCTACAAGTTCAAGGTGCAGGCCAGGACCACTGAGGGCTTTGGGCCTGAGCGTGAGGGCATCATCACCATCGAGTCGCAGGATGGAGGTAAATACCTGCCCACTTATTCACCCCCCAGCCCTTCTCTGGCCATGCCTTCTTCTCCTGGCACCACCCTCTGACTGGCCTGTCTGCCCCCTCCAGGCCCCTTCCCACAGCTGGGCAGCCACCCTGGGCTCTTCCAGCACCCACTGCAAGGCGAGTACAGCAGCGTCACCACCACCCACACCAGCACTACCGAGCCCTTCCTCATGGGTGAGTCACAGAGGGACAGGAGAGATCCTGGCTCTAGTGGGAATAGAGTTAATGGATGGAGGGGCAGGGACACAGGTAGGGTCCCTCAATATACCTCTCCCTCAACAGATGGACTAACCCTGGGGTCCCAGCGCCTGGAGGCAGGTGGTTCCCTCACCCGGCATGTAACCCAGGAGTTTGTGAGCAGGACGCTGACCACCAGTGGAACACTCAGCACCCAGATGGACCAACAATTCTTCCAAACCTGACCCCCCCAGTTTATCCTGGAACCTGGGCTCCCTCCCCGTGCCACCTCAGCTACTTCATCCTTTGAACCCTGGGGCCCAGCCCTCCACATGCTGATCCCAAGGCTAGTGCCTCTGGCCACAGAGCAGGGGGTAGGTGTCCTCTGGGAGGCATGAAGGAGGCAGAGGTCCCAGAAAACCCCTCTGGCTTCCCCTACTCTGGGCTTAAACCCATTATAACCAAAGAGCCAGGACCAGCACAAGGACCTGGCCTTTGTTACGCACTTAATAAAATATTTTGCTACTGTCTGGCCCCGCCCCATCCATTCTTCCAGGACCTGAGAGGTACCAGCCTAACACCCTTCTGACACCCACCTCTGGGGCAGGCGGGCACCACCATCAGAGACACAGGTTTATTGAGCACCTAGATATGTTAGGTAGGCACCAGGTGCAGAAGCGTGTGACTGGCCAGGCCCTGTGCCCACCGCATGACGTGCTGGGGCTCCTCCTCACAGGTGCAGCACCTTGGCGCCATCAGCCGCTTGAGAGAGGTAGAAGGTGGCGGTACCCTTGTACTGTTCCTGGGGAAGGCAGACCGGTCTGAGTGATGGGCAGGGCCCCAGGAACCCACTCTCTTGCACACTTAGGCCCAGATACCCACCCACCTGTATGTGCTGCATGGCACGGGGCGCGGAGGAGGCCTCCAGCAGTGTCACTGTGCAGCCACCAAAGCCACCACCTGTCATGCGGCTTCCATAAACCCCAGGCACAGAGAGTGCAGCCTCTACCAGGTGGTCCAGCTCAGGACAGCTCACTTCGTAGTCATCCCTGTAGAGATGATATGGGAGGTGTGGGCCTGGAGCCAGCCTGTGCTGGGAGGTGCGGGACACCCAAGGGTCTCACCTGAGTGAGTGGTGACTCTCCACCATAAGGCGGCCAAAGGCTCTGTAGTCGCCACGGCTCAGGGCAGCTGCTCCCTGGACCGTGCGCTGGATCTCACTCACGACATGCCGGGCCCTCCGGAAGCCCTCTTTGCTCACCAGCTCTTTGCCAGCTGGGGAGGGAAAGAGTTGGCAGCCCAGCTCCCAGGGCAGGTACACTGGGGGGAGCCAATGTGACAGCAGGGGCCCTGGCCAGTCACTCAATAGTTTTGGGGTAGGGGCCACAAAGCATGGAGGCAAGCCTGTTTATCTCAGGCTTTGTTCTGAAGAGCCCCTTAGTGCCTCCCCGCCTTAAATGTAAAACAGGGCACCTGGCTCATTTGGAGTATAGTGAGGCATGAAAGTCAGTGCTTTCCAGGGTGAGTGGGACACTGCTGCCCATGACAGAACATGGCAGAGAAGAAATTCTGCTGATGTTTACGCAGGAGCAACATGGAGCCTGAAGGCTAGTGCTAAGAGGGGACACGGACCAACAGGCTGTCCTGCCTGGTGAAACCTGGGGTGGGAAGGGCAAGCTGAGTCTGCACAGGCAGCCCTGAGGGCCACAAGTCTCTGCTCCTTAGTTCTGTGGGCCACAGAGGTTCTGGTGCAGAGGAGGGGCAGAGCTGAACGCTACTACACAGAAGCAAGCAGCCTGGGCAAGATCCCTGAGCTGAGAGAAGTGGGCACCAGGAGCCCAGGTGGCAGCCATGAAACAGGGCATGATGGAGAGGAGGAAAGAAGGGAGAGGACAGAAGTCAGAGGTGAGAGTGAGAGGGCAGCTTCACTGGAAAGGCAGCTACGGGCACTCAGGTGACTCAGTTTTCAAACAAGAGTGGCAGGGTGAGGAGATCGCAGACAAGGCAAGTCAGGAGAAGCCTGTGGGGAGGAAGGACGGGGGTTCAGTTGTTAGGGAGGAAGGACAGGTACAGGAAATGCAGGGGTATAGCCAGGACAGTGAGGGGGAAATGCAAGGGCTATAGCCAGGACAGCGTGGGGGTTGCAGGCTGAGGACAAAGTCTAGGGAAGATACCCAGAGAAATGGGAGCACTGCAAGTGACCAGATCTGGCCGAGGTGGAGAGGCACAGTGGACCAAGGCCAAGGGATGTGGAAATCCCTGGGAGAGCTGTTACAGCGGGCAGCAAGGAAGAAGAGCAGGCAGAGTGAGAAGATTAAGCAGTGAGTGGAGATGAGATAATGGGGTCACGTTTTAGGAGAGAAGGAAACAGTATGGTTCAGAGGCAGAAGGAAGCCAGGCAGAGGACAGGAAGGCAGGCAGGTGCAGAGGAGGTGAGAGCTGCAAGGGCAGGACTCTGGGGAATGCAGAGGAAGCACCACTCACCTGTGAGCAGGAGACCCACAGGAGTAGTATAGAAAGGCCAGAGTCAGGAGGGACAAAAGTGCTCAAGCATGAAAACCTTGGCCAAGGTCACCTATGCAAAGCAAGCAGGCCAAGCCTGAAAGAAGGGCTGCCTGCAAAACATGACAGTTCACAAAGCAGGACAGGATGGTCCCTCAGGGCACTATCCAGTGTCCCCAAGATGGGCACTGCCACAATGCCAGGAAGAAAAGGACTCCCAGTGTGGGCAGCATGGTATACTGGCCAGAGCATGGGTGTAGAGCTAACCTGCTTAAGTTCAAATCTCAGAGCTTTCTGTAGATTTCCCATCAGAAAAATGAGAATCACAGTAAAAGTATCTGCTTTATAGAGCTTTAATGGAATTAATAAGTCAATACCTTTATGTCCTTTGAACTGTTAAACAGACTACCTTCCTGGCCAGCTGAATCAGAAACTTTAAGAATATTCCCTGAGGCTCGGTGCCTATAGCTCAGTGTTTAGGGCACCAGCCACATGCACCAGGGGGCTAGTGGGTTTGAACCTGACCCAGGCCTGCTATAGTCCCAGCTACTCTACCGAAGATGACAGTGAGACTTTGTCTCAAAGGGGGGGGGGGCAAGTTACTCAACTTTGGGGTTTTTTTTAGACAAAGGAGTTTTACTTTGTCACCCTCAGAAGAGTGCTATGGCATCTTAATTCACAGCAACCTCAAACTCTTGGGCTCAAGCAATTCTCTTGCCTCAGCCTGTGGAGTAGCAACACCCAGCTATTTTTTTACAGATGGGGTCTTGCTCTAGTTTAGGCTGGTCTCAAACTCGTGAGCTCAGGCAATCCACCTGCTTCAGCCTTTCAGAGTGGTAGGATTGCAGGCATGAGCCACTGTGCCTGGCCACACATACTCAACTTTGAAAAGACAGATGCCGAAAAACACTGGAAGGAAATATATGAAAATAATAGTGGCCATCTCTTGAGTAGCACTTTATGGCTTATTACTTTCTATTCTATACTCTCCTATATTTCCCACAATGGAAAAAAATGATTCTGAGTAGATAAAACATTTTAAGATTTCAAGCAGTCCTGCTGAGGTTAGAGCCCTAGGTTTACGTTGTCTGGGAAGAGCATGGCAGAAGGCCCTAGCAGTTGGGGGTACTCAGAAGGGCCAAGGCCAGGCTGAGGTGTCAGCAGGGAACCCAGCCATCCCGGGACAAAGCACCCCAGCCCCAGCCACTCTCACCCTCCAGCTCCTCCATCTGCACATCCCGAAGGCTCTCCTTGCCCAACGCCTGGGCCACTTCTTCACATTGGCGCCGCCGCAGAGGGTACTCACTGGAGCCCAGGGAGTGGCGGACATTGGAGTTGGTGATAAGCACAGCCAGCCTGGGGTCTGAGAGTGGCACCAGGCTTGTCTCCAGGGACCTGGGGTGGAGTCAGAGTCGGGGGAAAAACGTCAGCTTGCTGTGCCAGGCAGTGGACACACTCTGCCTGGGAGCTCCTAAGCGGGAGAGAGGAGGGCACAAGGGGAGCCCTGACCTGCAGTCAATCAGCAGTGCATGGCCTTTCTGCCCTAGGAGGGCGATGAGCTGGTCCATGATGCCACAGGGCACTCCTGCAAAGCTGTGCTCAGCCAACTGACACACCTGGGCCCGGGCAGCTATCGCCCCTGAGTCTGTAGGACAGGTGAAGTAGGGAGGCTGGGGCCAAGAGGGGGCACAAGGGGTGGGCAAGTGGGAGCAGCAGTAGCTCTCGTGACATTACAGAGTTTCCACTCCCACCCCCACCCTGGGTCAAAGTAGGGAAGAAGCTCTGACCAACAGGGGCCCTCAGGGAAGGAGGGTTCAGACAAGGGCTGAGGCTCAGGTGGTACCTGGACAGAGCTGCTGGAGGAACGTATAAGTGGCCACTTCCAGAGATGCTGAGCTGGACAGCCCACCCCCCAGGGGCACTGAGCTGACCACCACAGCACTGAAGCCGGGGAGGGGGGCAGCTGCAAGGGAAGAATGGGTCATGGTAAGACAGCTGCCAGTAGGAAGGGCACAAGTCTCAAATGTCAGAGGCTACCACTGCTGGGCCCAGGGACCCCCACTACCTTACATTTTCCCACCCTGTAAGGTTTCTGGGACAGTTTTCCTAGTTGTCCTGCTGGGGGTTGCATCTTAGCTCCTCCAATCATGTAATGGGAACCCCAGGCAAGTTCCAGAACCTCTCACAGCATCATTCTCCTCATCTGCACAGCTGGATGCTCTATCCTGCAAGCCTTTCCATGATGTTTTAGATGAATTAGTGGGCTTTGTGGCTGTCAGATGGCACTCCCAGTACCAGCATGAAGTTAACCCAGGTCTGGGCCATATACCTGGGTAGTGCTGAATCACTCCCTTGACATAGTTGGCCCATCGAGGGGTCCCAGGTTCCAGGGAGCGCTGGGCAGTGGGCAGTGGAAACTGCAGCCGCTGGGGCTCATCAGCATCCTCAGAGGTGGTAAGAAGAGAGACAAGCCCATCTGCTCGGGGACTGCCCACAAGCACTGTCACCAGCTCCAGTGCCTGAAAGAAGAGACAAGGAGTATGTAAAGGTGATACCACCTGATGGAATGACTCCCCCGTGAGGTGCCCTCCAGGCTCAACTTGAAGGGGAGAAAGGATGGCTCGAGGAAAGAGCCTGGGAACTGAACTCAGGGTTGACCCCCACCCCCTGGGTATTTAGGACAGGCCTAGCTGCAGACACGGACTCTGCCCTGAGCTGTGGGGCCAGGGGGTGAGCTCAAAAGGCAAACAGATCAGAGGAGTTCCAATGCCTTTCCATTTGGGGTGGCCTCAGATACATTTGGACCCTCTCACTTCCCAAGCTGCACAGTGGGGCAGAGTCCCAGGGTGAAAACTGGGAGGCCTCACTCTAGTTGCAGCCCCACCTCTGTGACCTTAAGAGCCCTCTCCGGGCCCATGAGCCCACCCTCGTCCTCAGTTCCCTCTTCCATAGATTGAACTGGCTTGGCCAGGAGGCTGAGATCTGTTTGCCCAGGTCTGCAGTTGGGGCCCCACGGTGGTCAAAGGCCCGGAGACATAGGGCCCCACAGTTTAACTGGGAATCGCTCCCAGGCTGAGGGAGCGATGACCAGCAACCCCCACAGGACAGAACTGAGCACAGAGGCGGCCGCGCGTCCTTTCCTAACTACTTCCCCGCTGGTGCCCAGCTTCCTCCCTTGCGACGTGGGAATCGGCCGGCCACCCTGCGCTCGTCCCCGAGCCTCGGCTGCCCTCCCCACCCTCCACGCGGAGAGAACGCGCCGGCCCGCGCCGGAGGCCCGCCACTGTGGGCGGCAAAGGCGGGCGGCAAAGGCAGGCGGCAGCGGACTGAGGGGCTCCCCCGCGCAGCCCCTCACCATGGGCAGCACCAGGCCCTGGTTGTAGTCCGTGTGCTCTCCGATGAGGTTGACCCGGCCCGGGGCCGACACGGCCAGCTCGGGCTCGGCCCCGAATTCTTCCCGGAAGGCTCGCCGGGCCTCGGCCAGCAGTTCCTCAACCTGGGACTGTCTCGAAGCAGCCATGACGGTCGTTTGCAGTCCGGCTTGGCCACTAGGCTCTGCCCGGAGGGCGCGGGATGCTCGGGGAGGGGCAGTGCTCTAGGGTGCGTACATTCCCGCCCGCGCCGCCCCCGCGTACCCTAGCCCGGACGCCCCGCCCCTCCCCGGCCCCACCCCCTGGTGGCCCCGCCCCTTCCCGCAACACCGGTGGGAATCCACCTGCTGGCGCGGGGAATTCTGTGCTTCCGATGATGTTCTTCTTTCTGGACTTTGCGAAAAACCAGTGGGCACCCACACAAGGAGGGATAGTCTTGCGTGGCACCTGGCGTAACCCGGAGATGTGGTCCTGGTGCCTCTCCGAGTGTTCTCACACACTTTCCCTCACTCCCACCCCTACCACCCACACACACAGCCAGAGGAATGGAGGTAGTGTCCCACAGACCTGGGTTTCCCAAAGGGATTTTCTAGGTAACTCAGGGCCAGCAGTTATGAGATCAACAGCCCCTGATCATGGTCTCCAAGAGAAGGACCTGGCATTCAGTTTAAAGAGAGAGAAGGACAGCTAAGTTTGGTGGTGACCAGGAAGTAACTTTTTACATGGTCCTTTTCTAGTGTAATAAGAAATAGTTCCAGGCTCGGCACCCGTAGCACAATGGTTATAGCACCAGCCACATACACCAAGGTTGGCGGGTTGGAAACCTGCCGGGGCCAGCTAAACAACAATGACAACGGCAACAAAAAATAGCCAGGCGTTGTGGCAAGCGCCTGTAGTCCCAGCTACTTCGGAGGCCGAGGCAAGAGAATCGCATAAGCCTAAGAGTTTGAGGTTGCTTAAGCTGTGAAGCCATGGCACTCTACCAAGGGCCACATACTGAGACACTGTTAAAAAAGAAAGAAAGAAAGAAAGAAATAGCTCCAGGCAATGGCCAGCAGTGGGCCCAGTCACTTCTCCAAGGACCTGTTACAGCCACCACAGCAGGTTGTATACTGTTGTCCCCAAGAGCCTGTCTCACATGCCCAAACTCAGAAACTCCTTTCTTGTTTGCCTGCATTTTAAACATTCAAGGTGGCCCCAAGCTCTGCCTAGATGAGCAACCACAGCTGCCCATCCCATAGGAAAGCTTGGAACAGAAAGGCAAGAAAAGTAGCCTGGCCAGGGGCAGTGGCTCATGCCTGTAATCCCAGCACTGTGGGAAGCTGAGGCAGGTGGATTGCCTGAGCTCAGGAGTTTGAAATCAGCCTGATCAAGGTAGACTTTTTCTCTAAAAATAGGTGGGCATTGTGGAGGGCACCTGTAATCCAGCTAACTTGGGAGCCTGAAACAGGAGAATCACTTAAGCCCAGGAGTTTGAGTGTGAGCTGTGCCAACACTGCACTCTACCCAGGACGACAAATTGAGGCTCTGTAGGAAGGAAAAGTAGCCTGCCTGAGGTTAGCGTGGAGCTGTGGGGTGGGCTGTCTGAGGAAACGTTGTGGCTGAGGGTGTAGCTTGAAGGCATGGTGGCTCACACCTATAATTCCAGCACTTCGTGAGGTAGAGGTAGGAGGATCACCTGAGGCCGAAAGTTTAAGACCAGCCTTGGCAACGTAGCCAGATTCCATCTCTAGTCCAGGTATGGTGGCTCACACCTGTAATTCTAGTACTCTGAGAGGTCAAGTGAGAGGATTGCTTGAGCTCATGAGTTGTCGGCCTGAGGAAAAGCAAGACCCCATCTCTGCTAAAAATAGAAAAAATTAGCCTAGTTTTGTTGGAGGTTCCTGTAGTCCCAGCTATTTGGGAGGCTGAGGCAAGAGGCTGATCTCTTGAGCCCAGGAGTTTGAAGTTGCAATAAACTATGAGGATGCCACTTGTACTCTAGCCAGGGCACAGAATAAGATTGTCTCAAAAATAAAAGTTATGGGTGACTCAGTGAGTAGAATGCCGGCCCCATATACTGGAGGTGGTGGGTTCAAACCCAGCCCTGGACAAAAAAATAAAATAAAATAAAATAAAAGTTATTAGGCTGGGCCTGGTGGCTCACACCTCTGAGCCCTAGCAAGACATCATCTCTAAAAATAGCCAGGTATTGTGGTGGGCACCTGTCATCCCAGCTACTTGAGAAGCTGAGGCAAGAGAATCTCTTGAGCCGAAGAGTTAGAGGTTGCTGTGAGCTATGATGCTGCAGCACTATACCAGGGCAACAAATTGAGACTGTCTCAAAAAAATAAAAATATGGCTTGGAGCCTGTAGCTCACGTGGCTAAGGCGTCAGTCACATACACCAGAGTAGGCGGATTCAAATCTATCCTAGGCCTGCCAAACAACAATGATAACTACAACCAAAAAAAATAGCTGGGCATTATGGCAGGCACCTGTAGTCCCAGCTACTTGGGAGACTGAGGCAAGAGAATCGCTTGAGCCCAGGAGTTGGAGGTTGCTGTGAGCTGTGATGCCTTGGACCTCTACCCAGGGTGACAGCTTGAGGATCTGTCTCAAAAAAATAAATAAATGAAAATAAAACAAAGGTTATTTTATGACCTAGCATTTTCTTTCTTCTTTTTTTTTTTTTTCAGAGACCGAGTTTTGTTTTGTCACCCTCGGTAGAGTATTCTGGCGTCACAGCTCACAGCAACCTCCAGCTCTTGGGTTTAGGAGATTCTCTTGCCTCAGCCTCCCAAGTAGCTGGGACTACAGGCGCCCACCACAACGCCCAGCAATTTTATTGTTGCAGTTTGGCCAGGGCAGGTTCGAACCTGCCACCCTCGTTATATGGGTCTGGCACCCTACTCACTGAGCCACAGGTGCCGCCCATGACCTAGCATTTTCATTTCTAGGTACATACTGTACTCAAAAGAACTGAAAACATGGTGCTCACAGCCTCTGCCGTGCCGCCGTCGCTGTGTAACGCCAGCGCCGCCTCTAGCTTGCCGAGCTCCAGGCGAAGAAGCGGGGTCAGTAAGGAGGTCTTTATACCATGGCTGGTACAAAGCAGACTGCCCACAAATCCACCAGTGGTAAAGCCCCCAGGAAGCAACTGGCTACAAAAGCCGCTCGAGAAATTGCTCAGGACTTTAAGACAGATCTGCACTTCCAGAGTGCAGCTATTGGTGCTTTGCAGGAGACAAGTGAGGCCTATCTGGTTGGCCTTTTTGAAGACACCAACCTGTGTGCTATCCATGCCAAACGTGTAACAATTATGCCAAAAGACATCCTAGCACATCGCATATGAGGAGAATGTGCTTAAGAGTCTGCTATGATGGGAAAACATATCATTATCAAAAAAAAATTATCTTCTTCCTGTTATTGATAGTTCTGAACGTTAGATTTTTTTTCCCCCATGCGGTCAAAAGATACTTAAGTATATGATTGCGACTGGAAAAATAGGGAACAGAAATCAGGTATTGGCACTTTTTCCATTTTCATTTGTGTGTGAATTTTTAATATAAAATGCAGGGATGTGCAGCATTAAAGCGAATCAAAATGTTTCTGTGAACAAGTTTCAGCAGTTCAACTTTATAACAATTATAAATAAACCTGTTAATTTTTTTTGGACAATGCCAGCATTTGGATTTTTTTAAAACAAATTTTTTATTGACGGCAACTAAATGGTGTTTGAATTATTTTTATCATACAGTAGATTCCATCCATTCACTATACTTTTCTGAGTTGTCCTACATACAAGTACGTTTTTAATGTTGTCTGTCTTCTGTGCTGTTCCTGTAAGCTTGCTATTAAAATACATTAAATGGCTCAGCACCTGTGGCTCAAGTGGCTAAGGCGCCAGCCACATACACCTAAGGTGGCTGGTTCGAAACCAGCCCAAGCCCGCCAAACAACAATAATGGCTGCAACCAAAAAAAATAGTCAGGCGTTGTGGCAGGCGCCTGTAGTCCCAGCTACTTGGGATTCGGAGGTGGGAGACTCGCTTGAGCCCAGGAGTTGGAGGTTGCTGTGAGCTGTGATGCCATGGCACTCTACCCAGGGCAACTGCTTGAGGCTCTGTCTCAAAAAAAACAAAAACAGGGGCGGCTCCTGTGGCTCAGTGAGTAGGGCGCCAACCCCATATAACGGGGTGGCAGGTTCGAGCCCAGCCCTGGCCAAAACTGCAAAAAAAGGATTTCAAAATATTTAAAAAAAAAAAAAAAGCCAGGCTTGGCACCTGTGGCTCAAGAGGCTAAGGCGCCAGCCACATAAACCTGAGCTGGTGGGTTTGAATCCAGCCTGGGCCCACCAAACAACAATAACAGCTGCAAACAAAAAATAGCCAGATGTTGTGGCAGGAGCTCGTAATCCCAGCTACTAGGGAGGCAGAGGCGGGAGAATCGCTTGAGCCCAGGAGGTTGCTGTGAGCTGTGATGCCA